GAAGGGGGGACAAAACAAATTTCTAAAATATACAAAGTGTTGTTAACATGGTATACTGAAGATGTGACAGTTAAGGAACATATGATAAAATGGGCAATTAATATGAATAAAGAAATATCTATGCCATCATGGGAATTTTTGTGGAAAAATGCTATGAAAATATCAACATGTAATAATCTGAAAGAAAATTGCTACAAAATGATGTATAGATGGTATATGACACCAAAAAAGATTGCAAATATAAATTGTAATATGTCAAACAAATGTTGGAAATGTAAAAAGATGGAAGGTTCTTTTTATCATACGTGGTGGACATGTGAAAAAGCAAAAGAATTTTGGACACTTATACATGTAGAAATGGAGAAAATAATGAAATGTAAATTTAAAAAAGAACCAGAAATATTGCTGTCAGGACTAAAAATGGAAGAACTTAATACATCAAAAAGGACACTAATGTGGTATATGATAACAGCTGCAAGAATATTATATGCTCAGAACTGGAAACAGGACAGAATTCCAGAAGTTGGAGAATGGATTGAAAAATCGCTTTTTATGGCAGAAATGGACAAAATGACAAGGAAGCTCAAAAATGAAGCGGCTGAAGATTTTTTTGCGGATTGGAAAGACTTTAAAGGCTATTTAGAGAAATATTGGGATGTTAAAAATAACTTGATTTGCTTTGTAAATTATTAGAATAACATAAAAGGGAACAGTGATGGATATATATATAAAAAATAGTAATGGAATATAAGTTACCTATAAGATAATATGACTGAAACATATAATGATTAAAGATGTGAACGGGTGGTGGGAGCGCTGTGGGAAGCCTGTAAAAATGGGGGGGGGGGGGATGAAAAGGATATAGACTGAAATGGACATAATTGAAATGTGTATTATCCAAATAAAAATTGTGTTTAAAAAAAAGTTTTATTCAAGGTATAAGTTCGTGTGCAAGCAAGAAATCACCACAACCACCTATATGTAATAATTGAGGAAATTTGTTTCAATGTGTCTGAAGGAGTGTGGATCTACACATTTTTGACATTGTCCTTCACAAGCGACATTTTTGACATTGTCCTTTGCAAAAAAAATTGACATTGTCCTTCACAAGGATCCCAGAATAAACATAACACACAGGGGATGAAAGGACAGATCCTTTTGTGAATTAGTAATGAGTTAAACACCAGGATTCCTGGTCCAAGAAGCACAAGAGAGGAGATCTCACAACAGACAGATCTCACAATGGCAGGAAGCAAGCAGTAGGCTGTGTATGGGACAATGTGCAATTTGTTCATAAATGATCCAAAACTGAAGAACAGCAAAACAACAAAATCTGCAGAAGCCACCAAGTTTTTTAAAGGATTTTGAAGTACAAAGAGAATTATGAAGAACTCCAAGAGGTGCAAGTAAACAACTGGGCAAGTAAACAACAATGTGACAAAGGAGGTTCATCATCAATGAAAAATGATTCACATCAAGGGGGAAAATGCCAGGTGTATGTACCAGCCAACAAGGTCTGACAAGAGAAAGAAAGAAAGAAAGAAAGAAAGAAAGAAAGAAAGAAAGAAAGAAAGAAAGAAAGAAAGAAAGAAAGAAAGAAAGAAAGAAAGAAAGAAAGAAAGGCTTTTTGAGGGATTTTTCCTGTTCCACATGTATTTAGCTCCCTCTAGTGTCCAATTTGACATTTAAAATGTTCATTTCCAGTTTATTTTCCTGCAGTTTAAATCTATAGGGTAATAAACTGGAAATAAACCTGTTTTATGTCGAATTGACCACTAGAGGGAGAAAAACACATGCAAAACAGGGGGGGGGACTGGAAGAAACAGGAACTTAACCAGGAGTAAAACGAGAATGCAGAAAAGGCTAACGAAATGGCATTTACCTGGGTGTGTAAGATGAAGGCCGTCTGTACCTGGTGTTTAAAATGGTTCCCCATAAGGGTAAGTGGCCTGTAGTTCTGGATGGGGGCCTGCGGGGATAACCTTCACCAGGTTGATGGGACTTCTTAATTTGCCTGCCTACATTTCCCAGAAGTGCTAGGGAAAAAGGGCAGGAAAATATGGACATGCCCCAGGGGTGGAGCTAGGGGGATAAAGGCTTTGGCCCCTGAGGAGAGAAGTCTTCAGCTTGGTCTTCAGCCTTTGGCTCAGCGTGGACGGCAGCTTCAAGGGAGTAGACAGGTGGGGGCTCCTGTTGCCTCAAACTCCAGGGCATCCAGACCATTATAAACCGTGGTGGACAGCCAGGAGGGCAACAGTACCAGTGACCAGTCTAATGGAGGGCTGGGGTTTCTCCACAACCTCCAGAGACAGAGAGGGGTGTGTGTAGGGGACAGAGGAATGGCGTTTTAAATCATATTTATTTTCTGCCCAGGTTGTGTTAATGTGCTTGTGTTTATTTTCTGCGCTTAACTTGTACATAGTTAGAATAAACTCTTTTGAGTTAAATAAGACCTGGTGTGCCTTGATTACCTAGTCCTCCCCACTCAGCACGTTACCAGGGGCAAAGAGAGGCCAGGGAACTCAAACGGGCCCAAATCAGAGAGGTTGCCAATGCTCCAGGGGGCACCCAAAGATTGTGGTACTAACTTCCCAAGGTGGGGGAATCAGCCAGAGGGGTCTCACTGTCCCTCTAGGAAGGCGGTGTCAATTCAGTGAGTGGTGGCAGCGTGTAACGAAGGGAAATAGCCCCACCAAGCAGAGTGGGAAGGCAAAAACAGGGGCTTGTGAGCCACAGAACAGCTGCTCCGTCTCCCAGGGCTGAGGGCGGGTCCCCATTTTGCCACAAGGCCAATGAAAATACTGGGTTTTGTAACTTGTTAAAGGATGGTGCCCGACCAGTTATCGACTCAATAACATTTGTTATAATATTGCTGTCCTGGAGATGCTTCCAGTTAAGAGGGTATGTGCAATTATTCAGAAATGTTCAAAGAGGGTGATATATGCCATAATAATTGATTCTGAGATGCCAGCCAATCTACTAAATATTTGTTTGGCCCATTAACTATACTAGTGGGGAGGCAATGTCACAAGCTGTTTGGACTTTACTAACCACAGCTAAAATTTTAATAGCGAAATATTGGTGTAGCACAGAACTTCCCTCGTTTCATCCTTGGCTTATTAAATCATGGGGAATAGCACAATACTACAGATAACTCTAGGTAGTTAGGCCCTTGAGTTAGATGGCTTTTAAATGGGATTAGATTCATTCATGGGGGGAATCTATCAGTGGGTGTTGGCCATGATATCTAAAGAGCACCTTCACTTGCAGAGGAAGCATACCACTGAATATCAGGTGCTGGGAATAACTGTGAAGGAAAGCTATCACCAGGGGTCATTTCCTGCAGGAGCACACAGGAGCGGAGCTCCAGCAGTAAAGAGCCCAGGGGGCGGGCACATGCAACAAGCCCCACCCCCTGCTCCCAGCAGCCCTCAGTCAGAGTAAGAAGCAGCCAGGTAAGTTTCAGAGCCCGCCCCCTGGTCCAAAACAGTCCAGTGGCACCTTTAAGACCAAGTTTTATTCAGGTACAAGCTCTCCCTCCTCTGCAAGGACAAATCTGCACGTCCCCCCCCCAATAGCTAGGAATCTAAAACAGTCCAGTGGAGCCTGAGCAGTGGGTGTTGCCTTCTGACACACTTCCGGCGATGTCAGGGGGTGTGATATATGCAAATGAGTTATGCTAATGAGCTCCTGCACCTCTTTTTCTACAAAATGACCCCTGGCTATCACTTTCCTGCCATACTTGTGGGCTTTCATTTGGGGCATCTGGGTGGGAAACAGAAGGATGCCAGACTAGATGGGCTTTTGGCCAGATCCAGCTGGGCTCTTCTTAGTTCACTACCTACCACAGAGGCAAAACCTTTTCATCATTCCAAGACTTAACCACAAATAATAATATCGATGAGGGCACTTGTACAGAAATATTGATTTCTAAAAGCCCCTGCCTTCCCCTGGGATGTCTTGCTGATACCCAGAAGGCACATAGCTGATGGGGAAGGCAGGAGAGTGGGTCACCTGACTGCAGAAGGAGTTCCCAAACTGCCAGCCTATCCCCACTTGCACCCATGACAACTAAGAAATGGGCACATCCCCTGTCTACTCCTGATTAGCTGATGGCCACGGCTGGTCATGATTAGATTGGGGTTTAATTGTCTGATCCCTTGGAAGAGAGCTCTCTCTCTCTCTCTGCTCTTGTGTTCTTGCTCTCTGCTCCCTGCTTGTTGTTTTATTGCACCTGGACATGTGGTCTGTTGGAGAACAAAAGGATTGCTTTGTGCCTTAGAGCACATGGAGGGCAAGGATAGGATTCCTCTTAAAAATCCCTTGGTACCTAACTGGACTATATACCTTGGATATTATTTGGACTGATGGACTCCTGAAGTTGGTAAATATGTATCTCTTACTGTGTATTTAAGGCAAACTGCCTTAGGCTTATTGTTTGGCAATCTTTCATTGTTACTTGCAATGCTCTGTGCTGAATAAAAACTTATTCTTGTTTCTAACTTGTCTTTGATGTTGTAACTGGGATTCCAAGTCTATTTCCTGTGCCTACCTGGCCACACGCTACCATTGAGCATTAAGTGTACATCTCTGGGAATGAGGTGCTAATGTGTTAAGCCCTAGATGCCAGCTGAGAGATCTGAATCTCTGCTCTGAGCTGGAGGGGATTATAGAATACTGAGAGATTCTGGTGGCTTATTGTTCTGAATCCAGAGAGGGTAGCCTACCTCTCTGGGTCGTTGTTTAATGTATTGTAAAAGGTATAGGATTCCCCTCTCATTCCTGGACAGGCTTGAGGGGCAGAATCCTATACAGCACTCCTTAACACAACTTTTAATTTCTGTGCAAGGCTTAAATACAAATAATAATATCAGTGAAAGACTTTAATGCAAACGATAATATCAGTGAGGGCACGGCTTAAACGAAATCATGCAACTTTTAATTTCTACACACAGATGTTTATTTTAGACAGATACAAAACCAAGTAAAAATTGACCAACCTTGAAACGCTGAGACTTTAGGTAATTCTTTCTCATGGCCTTTTTATCAGTCTAGATGAGGAAGCAGAAAGGAGAGAACAGAGTCACTTGAAAGAAAACCTGATTGATTGATTAATTGATGATTGTAATTAATGAATCGCCCCATCCCTGCCACAGCAAGGCTCTGGGCGATGTACAAAAGCCATAAAACAAATACAAGATAATACCAGTTAGAACATGAATAAAACATTTCAACAATCAGATGGCGAATAATTAATCAATCCCAATTCCAACTGCCGGCTGCTTTGCAGATGGGGCGGGGGGAGGGCGGGGTAGTCGTAAATAACAGAGAACAGAGAAGGATGCCAGCCAAGGTGGAACCGTCGCTGTCCTCAGTCAAAAGCCTGGTGGAACATCTCTGCCTTGCAGGCCCTGCGGAATTGCATCAGATCCTGCAGGGCCCTAGTGGTGCTTGGCAGAGAGTCCCACCAGGTTGGGGCCAGGACTGAAAAGGTCCTGGCCCTAGTTGAGGACAACCAGATGTCTTTGGGGCCGGGGCCCACCAGCAGGTTGCTGCCTAAGGAGCACAACACTCTACCAGGGGCATAATGGAGGAGATGATCCCGTAGGTATAGGAAGCTGATTTACATTTCATAATACTGGGAAAGAAACAGCAAGTGAAATTCCTTCTAGGGCTGCTTCTAACTGGACAGTTCACTCCACCTCACACACACACACTCTCTCGCAGGTTTTTTTCTGACCTTCTTCCTGATATTGTTGGGGAGGGGGGAAGGAAGGAAGGAAGCAAGGAAGGAAGGAAGGAAGGAAGGAGGGAAGGAAGGGCAGTTGCCAGCTCTGCTGCTGCTCCAAACGCCAGGTTTCCCACCCACCCAGCTTCCAGCCCAGCACCATCTCCTTCCCCATGTGTACCTGGCTTGGACATGAGTGCTTGGCTCTGGCTGCAGTGGCTCTGTGTGCTCCCAGGCCATAGTGGAGGGACACCTGGCTAGCACCTGGCTGAGGATGATAAAGACCCTTGGGACCGCCCTGAGTGGACTCCTTTGCTGACCGGGTCTTCTCAGTAACCTAACACCAGAACTGAAGAAAAGCTGTT